AGATTTGAAACTGGTAAAATCCACATTTTGGCCATCGGGCTGTGGGCTCCCAAGGCGGAATATGAGGTGCTGCTTCTCCAGTTTGCGCGTGGTGTCATTGTGACACTGGAGGCAGCCCAGGATGGACATGTCACCCAGGGAGTGGGAGGGGGAGTTGAAATGGTTCACAACTGGAAGGTGTTGTCGTTTGTCGCATACAGAGCGCAGGTGCTCTACAAAGCGGTCTCCGAGCTGTGGATTGGCCATGGGAAATTGCAGGATTACAATAGGTTGGGGAAATGGGTCTGAGTGGGATGCTCTTTGGAGGGTCGGTGTGGAGCTGATGGGCCGAATGGCCTGTTTCCACACTGTAGGGTTTCTATGTGTCAAAAACCAAAGGGTGCAAGTTTAAGGTGAGGAGTAAATAATTTAGAGGAGATATGAGGAAACATTTTTTTCACCCAGAAATATTGAACATGCTGCCTGAGAGGGTGGTGGAGGCAGGTATTCTCGCAACATTTAAGAAGCATCTAGATGAACATTTAAAATGCCAGGGCTTAGTAGCCTATGGATTAAGTGCTGGTAAATGGGATTAGTGTCGTTTGGTGTTTGTTGGTCAGCAGAGACATGGTGGGCCAAAGGGCCTGTTTCTCTGCTGTATAACTTTCTCTCTCTTTCTCTAAATCTGTATTGTGTTCTGAAGAAGTGTCATCTTGAACTTGAAACATTGCTTCTGTTTCTCTCTCCTCGGATGCTCCCAGACATGCTGCGTTTCTCCAGCATTTCCTTTTGCTGCATATAATGGCTTCCATTAATGAGTTGTCATTTTTTTTTTTCCCTTTTCTGAACTAAGATTGAGCTCATTGGCTCAAACATGTAATCTCCCCCATCAAGAGAAATTACTTTTGGCAGCTTTGTGACTCCTTTCAACACAAACGCAAAGTATTGATGAGGAGGAAGATCTGAAATAAGAACAGAAAGTGTTGGAAATACTGTGCAGGTCTGGCAGCATCTGTGGACAATAGGAAACTGATAACATTTCAAGCCAATGACCCACTACCAGAATGGTTGTGACTAAAACTCATTGATCTGAAAGTCACCGATACAGAAAAGGTTTCTGGGCTACTTTTGTCTCTTTAAAAAGCAAGAGCCAAAGTTATGAGGGATTTTGACAGATTGCATAGCATGAAATTGTTTACGTCAGTAAGAAAAGAGCCACAGACGAGCTGAGGATAATTTTGTTTCACGACAGCAACATGTTATGATCTGTAATGCTGTATCTGAAACGTAGATGGACACAGATTTAATAGCAACTTTCAAAATGGGATTGGATC